ACTTATGTGTTGACAGTTCATAGTTGTTTATCTGTGATCAGAATCTATTTGTGTGATAAGTAGTAATTCTTGTTTTGCAGAGAAGCCTCGTCCATGTTTATCTGTCAGGTATATTTCTAACTGTGCATACTTTGATAAAACGTTTCATTTTTTTGTGGAGACTTTGGGAATAGCAGGGCTTGGTTGTAAGTGCACTATTCCAGTGAGGTATGGCACTAAATTGAAAACTAAATATCCCTGGTGTAATGCAACTTAGTCATAGAGTCATAGAGAGATACAGCATAGAAATAGGCCCTTCGGTCCAACTTGTCCATGCCCACCAGATATCCTAAATAAATCTAATCCCATTTGCCAGCATTTGGCCCATGTCCCTCTAACCCCTTCCTATTTATATACTCATTCAGATGCCTTTTAAATGTTGTAATTGTACCAGCCTCCACCGCTTCTTCTGGCAATTCATTCCATATATGCACCACCGTCTGCGTGAAAATGTTGCCTTATAGGTTCTTGTAAATCTTTCCACCTATGCCCTCTAGTTTTGGACTCCCCCACCCCAGGGAAAAGACCTTGTCTATTTACCCTATCCATGCCCCTCATGATTTTATAAACCTTTACAAGGTCACCCCTCAGCCACCAATGCTCCAGGGAAAATAGTCCCAGTCTATTCAGCCTCTCCCCACAGGGTATCATCCTTGTAAATCTTTTCTGAACCCTTTCAAGTTTCACAACATGCTTCCTATAGCAGGGAGACCAGAATTGCACACAGCAATATCCTATACAGCCACAACATGACCTCCCAACTTCTATAATCAGTGCACTGACCAGTAAAAGCAAGCATACCAAACGCCTTCTGCATTATCGTATCTACCTGCATTTTCAAGGAGCTATGAACCTGCATTCCAAGGTCTCTTTGTTCAACAACACTGCCCAGGACCTTACCATTAAGTGTATAAGTCCTGCCCTGATTTGCCTTTCCAAAATGCAGCACCTCACATTTACCTAACTTAAACTCCACCTGCCACTCCTCGGCCCATCTGATCAAGATCCTGTTGTACTCTGTGGTAACCTTGTTCTTTGTCCACCACACCTCTAATTTTGGTGTCATCTGCAAACTTACTAACCATACTTCCTATCTTTGCATCCAAATCATTTATATAAATAACGAAAAGCAGTGCTGATCTTTGTGGCACACCGCTGGTCACAGGCCTCCAGTCTGAAAAGCAGCCCTCCACCATCACTGTCTGTCTTCTATCTTTGAACCAGTTCTGTATCCAAATAGCTAGTTCTCACTGTATTCCGTGTGATCCAACCTTGCTAACCAGTCCGCCATGAGGAACCTTGTCGAACACCTTACTGAAAACTTGCCAGTGGGGTGCCTGAAAGACATAATAGGTTATAGTTAAATCATCCCTAATTATTCATAAATAATACTAAACATCAATAAATAAATCATGTCAGATTAGGGGTTACATTGATAAATGAGTTATTTGGGGATTAATTGTTATCTGTTTTTGGACTGTTTATACACACATGCACACCAACACATTGTCTCAATGCATCAACATTTAAGCTTTTTCAGCATTTGACAGCATAAAATAAAACAAGACTCCTGAGAAGTAGTTTTGCAATTTCTTAATTTCTTTGGAAAGAATTAACAAATAATTCTGTTTTATATAGTTGAGAGCTTTTACAGATATACGAGATGACCTGGCTTTAGGTCATGTGATTGTACTACTTCAATTGGACTGGCCTCGTGGAGAAAACCTATTTCTCAAAGCAGTTGACAAAATTTGTCAACAAGGATCATTTCAGTATGAAAACTTCTTCAACTATGTCACAAGTATCCTTTTACCTTTTCAGTTATATGCCAGAAAATCCTGAAATGCTTTTTAATTAATCGCCTTTATTGGTCAGAGTTTGAGTCCGAGGTCATGGTATTGAATCATCTTCCAAAGACTAGTTTCTTTCACTGGTGTTTATTACTCTGGACACCAAAGCTCTATTTTAACTATACCTGGCTAATGTGATTGCTGTCACTCATTTAGTTTCACCTGCATTTGTTTGTACATGCCCATTAGGCAAACCAGGCTTTCTTCTCATGACACTTCAAAGCAATCTAGCCAATCTCTGTCTGTCTCTCTCTCTCTCTCCCCCAATTTTTCTCTGTGTCTTTTTTGCTCTCTCTCTCTCTGTCGCTTTCTGTCTGTCTCTGTCGCTCTTTCTCTCGGTGTGTCTCTCTCTCTCTCTCTCTCCGACCCTCTCCTTCTCCCCCCTCCCTCTCCCTCTCTCTCTGTCTCTTTCTCTCTCTCTGTCTCTTTCTCTCTCTCTGTCTCTTTCTCTCTCTGTCTCTTTCTCTCTCTGTCTCTTTCTCTCTCTCTCTGTCTCTTTCTCTCTCTCTCT